GGGCTGGGGGGTCTCCACCTTGGAGCCAGGGGAGCTTTTTGCTCTGACAAGGTGGCCCTTGCCCCACTACCAAAAAAATGGCTCCCCTCCACACACAAACCCAACACACTTTGTATATTTCAATCTAATTTTTACAGTTTTCTTAAAAATAAAATTAGCATTAAAAAAAAATTTGACATAACTAAGAAGATAAATGGAAAACATCCCACTATATGATTTAACTTGCTTACAAATTAGAAATGGCAACATACATTTCCTAATGAGCTTTATTTTGAGACACCAAGCTACAGGGCTTGTTCTTGCCCTTCGGAGGCTAGTTCAGAAAAATAATGTCCATTTACCTTAACTTTATATCATGATTCTTTTTACTTTTACTCCTTCTTCATCGACCTTGAACCACTTTTCCTTTCCCTAAACCCTGTCTCTGTATTTTACACGTTTCCAAGTGTGTTATCAGCTGCCGTGATCCCACCGTCGTGTACTCATAGAAGAAAGCAGAACCAAATTACAAAGGAATAAGCTGGACAGTCTGTTTTGGTTTTCTTTCTGAATTCTCCAGCCTAATGTCTCTTATGTACAAGGTTCCCAGGACAGTTTTACATCTTCATTGTCCAATGCAGTAAATAGAATCAAACAGAGGAACAAAAGTCTGCCTCAAACTATGCATCTCCACAGCAACAACAGTTGCTCGAGTTTATTCTCCACTGAGGAAGGTACCTTGGGTTAATAATATTCATCCAAAACACTTTGTTAAAAACAGAACGTAACTGATTTTTCTAAAAGCAATGGGGAATGGCAGAATTTTCCTTCCAACTTGCATTGCTTTAGCAAGAAAGAAACAGAGCTTATTCAGACCTGTTTGACCAAAGACATAAATGCACTAAGAACAAAGTATTTCAATTTCATCTCTCTGCCTGTTTTGTAACACAGCTTAAAAACAGTAATGTTCTCAAATCCTTGTAATTATAACATCAGTTCTGCCTTCCTCCCTAAGTAGCTCCTGTTTTCTCCTCAAGTGAACAAACCAAAACTGAATCATTCTGAATATCTGAAATGCAAGTTTGAATGCAATTTCTTCTCTACAAGCTTTGCTTCTAATGTCTGCCTTACCATATGTTTCAGGAGTGAGTTACAGTCATCATTCTCAGTGTTTGATGTGTTGATCCTTCTACAGACACACTAATCTTTGTCATCAGAGTAGCCTGACTGTATTTTATTTACCGCTGCTCTCTCTCAACCAATAAGTAATTTGGCCTAAAGTCCAGTTATGTAATGAAGAACCTCGTATTTCGGTATCCCCTGCATTATGTTGCTTTGCATTTGGTACATTATATTGTACCTTTTCTAAAGATGGTTTCAGAGAGCAAAAAACAACTCCACATCCAAACAATTACATCAGGTCCAAACAATTACATCAGGACATATGCTACAACAGCTGCCTACAGCAGAAGAACATGTAAAATACACTCTGTGGTTCTCTGAAGTGCTCACTTTCAGAGCAATCCTTACCTTGGTCTGGATCACTGCTTTGCAGTCATTAATACTGAATCCATTAAATCTGAAGTCCTCATTATCTTTAACATTTGATTCCTCAAAAATGTCATCCTGGCTCGCCAAAAAGTCCTAATAAAACGTAATTTACATTTTCTTTTACAAATTTCTACCTGATCTCAAAGTATATAACCTAAAGAGAAGCTTCCCTCAAATAACAACAACCACTAAATTTTACTTTTTGAAGCTGTATATTGATTTATCATGTGCCCCCCTTGCATTATTAAAACATTGTTATGCCAAAACAAGTTCTATACACATGAATCTAACTGGGACTTAAATTAATAAAAAAGCCATTTCCAATCAAAATTATCCTTAACCTACACCACAAAATAGCCGAGAAATGTATTTCATCAGTATTGTTAAAAGCAGTACAATTTTCCAGTAACAGAAAAGGAGTAATGGCATAAGTTTAAGCTGCCTGGGCATTGATTTAATACTGGTATATTTATGGGCAAGAAAGGAACAGGAAGGGAGTTTAAGCATGTTGGAGAAATGTCTCCCATTTTTCCTGTTAGGTGACAGTTCTATAAAAGTTATTTTCAAGTCCAGAATAGGTCCTATATCTTCAGCACTGTTCTGTTTGTATGTAACTTGCATGAAAGGTCAAGCATGTCCATAAAATGAAAATTGAATGCAGTAACCCCCTATGCTTCAGCAATCAAATTAGCAATTCAAACAGTTGCTTCTGAAAAACCAGTCACTAATTCATCCTAACTAAATAACCAGGTTGAATACTAAACCATCTCTGATACCATTATCTTCTCAAAAGAAGTGATTAAACAGAAACTTCTTCTTTTTTTTAGATCTTTCAATACTGCTCATTCGGTCTCTATTCAATTTTAAACACACTCTTCCTCAAGCCTTGCAAAAACAGAATAATCTGAGGAGCAGGGAAGTGGAACACACTTTCAGTTCATGTACAGTAAAAACATCCAGTAATTACTTTAACAGCCTCTCTGATTCAAATCTGATTTGCACCCAATGGAAAGATATTAGAGGCTTAGAATTTTGCCATACTCTGAGCAAAAAGGAAAACCATCTTACCGCACATGCATCTGAAAGCTAATTCTACACCTATACTAAAGCTGAACATACCAGCTAACAACAGGGCGCTACATCATGGAGACTGCAATGTAAAGACGATCCAAATTGGATCCTGCACAATTTCATAGTTACTTACACATTCATGATGAGCAAACACTGGACTATAATTTTAAGATTCTCTGTAAAAAGACTTATGACGCACGCAGATCTAGTTCCTGATGCACCTGCACGTGTAGCTCACAGCAAATCAGGTTTATAACCAAGTGTTTATGCTGGCATACTGGCAAGCCGTTGTTCAATTACCTTTTGATTTGCATCTATTCCAAGAACACTCCAGAGGTTTTGTTGGCAATGATATTTACTCCAGGGATGTCTTAAGCTGGGGTTATTATCAAAGTCTGGAAGTGTTCTCCATATGTGTCTAGAATCAATGCTAGGAAAGAAACACATTTTGATGTTATAAGGTATACAGAGTTTCCAGTGAATGTACATAACTTCGTTATTTTTAACTACATACAGTGGTGTACCAGCCTACCTTGATCTAAAAAGCAAGTTATCTTAAAACTTCTTCTACATTCACTCAGATTATCAACCCAATGTACTAGTAAGCTTGCATGAAAATTAATGGAAACAGTAAATCAAGATAACTGTATGTTTGGGCTTCTCAGATAAGAAGCGCATTAGAAGCATATTTCAGAGATTGTTATATGCCAACAGCTCGGATTATTCAATTGCTTCTGTGAAATGTGGGTTATAATTAATTCTGCACTTTGTATTTTCTGTCTCTCAAACTTTCCTCCTTCCTATCATGCTCTTCCACTGCAGCAGCCTCCTGCTCAGGTGGGTGACCTGCATCTGCTCTGGACACACATGTACTACAAAACAAGCCAAAGGCACACACTGCTGGAACAGTGAGAATTCAAGAGTTCCCTCTACATAGTAGAATCACAGAATGATTTGGATTGGAAGGGACCTTAAAGATCATCTAGTTCCAACCCCCCTGCCATCAGCAGGGACACCTTCCACTAGATCAGGTTGCTCAAAGCCTCATCCAGCCTGGCCTTAAACACTTCCAGGGAGGGGGCATCCACAACTTGTACTAGTACTTTGGGTTCTTACGCTGCATTCATCCCATATAAATCCAGCTGCTTTTTGCTTAGTACAGGGTGCGATTACCATTGATCTGAAGTTATTCACCACAGGAGATCCAGTATTTTTTGTCTGTAGTTGGTACTCTGCTATAATATTGCACTCCCTTTTACATTTCCTGCACCTGGGGAGGAATAACCCCAGGCACCAGTACAGGTTGGGGGGCTGACCTGCTGGAAAGCAGCCCTGCAGAGAAGGACGTGGGAGTGCTGGTGGATGACCAGTTGACCATGAGCCAACAATATGCCCTTGTGGACAAGAAGGCCAATGATCTCCTGGGGTGCAGTCAGAAGAGTGTGTCCAGCAGGTTGAGGGAGGTTCTCCTCCCCCTCTGCTCTTCCCTGGTGAGGCCACATCTGGAGTACTGTGTCCAGTTCTCGGCCCCTCAGTTCAAGAGAGATGGGGAACTTCTGGAGAGAGTCCAGTGGAGGCCATAAAGATGATTAAAGGGCTGGAGCATCTTTCTTATGTGGACAGACTGAGAGAGCTGGGTCTGTTTAGCCTGGAGAAGACTGAAAGGGAACTTTATCAATGTTTATAAATATCTAAAGGGCAGGTGTCAAGAGGATGGGGCCAGACTCTTTTCAGTGGTGGCCAGTGACAGGACAAGGGGCTACAGGCAAAAGCTGGAACATGGGAGGTTCCGCTTAAACATGAGAAAAACTTCTTTACTGAGAGGGTGCCAGAGCACTGGAACAGGCTGCCCAGAGAAGTTGTGGAGTCTCCTTCTCTGGAGACATTCAAAACCCACCT